GACGACTGGTCAAAGACAGATGACAGGAATGTGGGCTGAAGTGCAAGTGATGCAGGCACCAAGACTGCGCAACATGAACCCACATTCATCACTGGTGAGAATGTAAAATAGCACAATCACTTTGGAAGGCAATTTGGAATTTTTCTACAAAACCATTCAGACTTTTGCTATAGCATACAACCATTATGCTACTCAATATTTACATAAACAAGTAAAAAAAACTTAATGTCTATGTGATGATATGTACATAATGGTTTGTAGAAGGTTTATTTGTTGTTGCCCAAATTAGTAGCAATCCAGATGTTTGCCAGTTTGTGAACAAGTAAATAAACTGTGGTACATTCAGACTATGTCACTAAAACTAAAGCCCGGTCTGTTAGCTGTGACCTTATTAACTTCAAATGGACATAACTTGAACAAATTTTGTGAGGAAAACTGAGTTTTCTTTAAAAAAATTGAATAAGTTATTAAACCATGAAAGGATACAGAAGAAATGTATGCATATGTTACTTAGTGAAAGAAATCAATATGGATGACATGCATGGTGAACATTTTCCATGATATGATAGGGAAGCCAAAACTGTGGCAACAGTAAAATGTTGGCAGTAACTAGCACTCAGAGGGAGGTATGACAGGAACATAAGGAACAAGGAGGTTTTTGCAGTGAAATGATGCTGCAGTGATTAATTTTGAATATACATTACACATTTGTCAAAAAATCACATAATATGTAACATCAAGAGTGACGTATAACATAAACTATGGACTTTAAGATGTGATGTAATGCTATGTGAAGATACATTTAATAAGTATAACAAATGCACCACGATGGTATGGGATGTTGATATCAGGGAGGTTGAGTATGTCTAAGAACCCACATTGTATATGAACTCTATACATTCTACTTAGTTTTTTATAAGCTTAAAACTGTTCTAAAATAAAGTCAGTTACTAAAAGATCATATGAAAGACTCTGCCTCATTCTTTTCTCTTGAATTTAAGGACTGAATGCAAGGGGTCAAGGGATCAGGCCATTTGTTTTCTCAAATATCCATTTGTGAGTTGTTATCTCAGTTCTCCCTCACTGGGCTTTATTTGACTGCTTGAAGGGTCTGGGATTTTCAGGGATTTCCTATTTCTTGACCTAAAGTTTTATATATATATATATATGTATATATATATATATATATATGTGTGTGTGTGTGTGTGTGTGTGTGTGTGTGTGTGTGTGTGTGTGTGTGTGCGTGTGCGTGTACATATATATCCTGGACCTTTTATGTAGCCCTCACTCATGAAAATGAAGGTGACTAAACTTACCAGGCAACAAATATTCTTGATTCCTAAGATGTGGCAGACAAGAGACATCTCAGTCAGAAAGTATTTGCCTTGAAAGCATGTGAACTTAATTTCAGTTCCCAGAAGCTGAATGCAGTAGTGTGTCCTTGTAATCCTAGTGCAGGACTGGCAGACACGCAGATCCCAGGGGCTTGCTGACCAGCCAGACTAGCCTCCTTGGCAAATTCTAGGCTAGTAAGAGGCCCCAGGGCTCAAAAAAAATGTGGCTAGTGCCTGACAACAAACAATGACTACAATTGACCTCTGACCTCCTCACACACCTAACCCCTCACCCAACATACAGAAGCAGCAGACAGATTTGCGTTTTGGGCTGTGTCTCTCATTGGGACTCCTAACTCAGGATCCTAAAGTTAACTGATCTTAGGACCGTACTTTTGCTAAGCAGAGTGTGAGGGTAATTTTGTCTTATATTTATGCCTGAAAATAAAGTCTAAAATCTAAGAGAGGATTCTATGGGGGTATCACTGATAGAGGTGGGATAGTTTTAGAACTAATCAGAGCTTTTGTTTTATACCTGCCATACCTTGAAAATCCTCCATCTCAAGGCCTGAGCCACCCAAGCCTGAGGCCAAGGTCTTCATCTTCCAGAGACTTCCAAAGGAGAAATTAACCCCACTCAGTTGAAGCTGTCTTGGAACTCTGTTACTTGACCACAGAGTCAGGATACTACGAATCACATTGATCTGGGTGTGTGCTTCTCGACTTCCTCATCGGGTTCTTCAATTTCTCATAGATTTAAGATTCCACCTCTATTGATGTAAAGCAATTCTACTTTGGGTAAGACAGATCCTGAGAATCTTTAGTATGACGGCAGGCAATTTATTGGTGGACAGCCCTGCCTGGCATGTTCCTTATCTTGCATTCTTACAGGGACATCATAAATTTTATTCATGTTCCTAGATTACAGATTAACTGAGAAATATCAAATTACTATAACTGATCAGTTTCTCTGTACTATAGGAAAATCATAAAACAAGGAAGGGACCTTGGGCAGATGTTTCTTTAGAAAAACAGTGGCTTTTTCTTTTTCCATTACAAGTCAGAGTTAGCTTCATATATAACATTGAAAATGTTATAATTTTTTAAAAGGAAATTTGACAGAATGATGGAATATGAGTGCATTATCTTTTGAGTTTATCTGATCTGCATCATATGTAATCATGGTTTTACCAATATTTTCTCTCTTTCCTTAATTCTTTCCTCTGCACCTCAAATGTTTTCATTGCTTTAGCTATGTGTTTCAATCTAGTGAATTAGACACAAAATCTCTCTTTAGAAAAAAATAGCAAGTTCTTTCACCAGGGTCTATTTGAGTGTTACCAACCTTATTCTCTACTCGATGTACCCTCCCCAATGCCCAAGATCTAGCCTGGGCCCTTCTTGGCCTATTCTGGTCACCCCTGCCTGAGTTGTCCCCAAAGTCTACACTTCAGCCAAGACCTGCTCAAAACCACATCTAACCACTTAGTCAAACCAGATCTTGAACAGCTTTTTCCAGGGTCCAGGACATGCCCTACCAACTCCTGATCTAAAGGCCCCTTTTTAACTACATTCAATCTGTTAGCTCAGCCATATCCTGCACTTCTTTCACCAGGCGAATCTGCCTAATTCTACATAGTCTTTCCAATCTTCTACATCCACAATCAAACCGCAGACTTGGACCAGGACATATATCCTGCATGACAGTCAAGCCCTTGTCTCCACCTGACTCCATTTTATCTAAGCCCTACCCAACATTTAGGTTTAACCTTCTCAGTACATCATGTATCCAGAAACCTAGTGGATGTTACTACCCTAGTATCTCCTTCTACTTCAGACCAGTGGCCTTTGTCAAAGCCCTATAGTTTACCAGTTGTGTGAAATTGTGCATTATCAAAATCGGGGAACTTCAGACTGATGATACAGTTATACTATTTTTAAAATCAGGAGCTATATTAGAAATTATATCACATTAAGTGTTACTTAGCAAGGAAAACTAAGTATTGTTGTGATATTTCATTTGTATTTTAATAAATGCAGTTTGCCTTAAGTTCAGAGAGTAAAACAGTTCCATTGGTCAACCTTACAGACCAGGAAGGGGTGACACACACCTGTAATCCCAGTAGCCACATTAGGTTGCCATAGAAACCAAGTAGCAGTCGTTTTTGCCTTTAATCTCAACCCTAGAGAGGAATGCATATGACAGGAGGAGACAGCTCTCACTCAGTCTCATTCTGAGGATTCCTGGAGGCAGAATTGCAATTTTGGACTGAGGTAGAGGTAAGAGCCAGGGGGTCATTGTTTTGCTTTTCTGACCTTCAGGTTGAACCCCAATTTCTGTGTCTTGGTTTTTATTAGTCATACTACAAAGTACTATGTTTTCCTATGAAAAATCAATTTCAGTGTGAGGTCAACTTTTCTCAATTGATATAACACATTTTTTATGTTTAAATGTACTGCAAGGACTCTAAAAATTTCCTCCCTTCAAACTGCCATTCCAGTCAAGCCACTTTTATTTTTATTCCTTTAACCACTAGTGAAAATGTCTGAAAGTTGCCAAATTGTACACAGTGTAACATGATCAGTGGAACATGCTCTGGATCCCCCAGCCCATGGCAAAGAGTACCAGCACAGCATCTTCTAGATGCCCTGCCTTCCTTTAGGATTCCTCCTCAGATTCTGTGTGTATAGAACACTCAGGTTATTTAGTGATCTTTACCTCCTGGCACAGAATTACAGGACACTATCTATCCCAGCCAGTTTGCTCACAAATCCCCCAAGTAAATGTCAACGACATTTTCCCTTTCACAGCTTCGTTTCTCAATGGGGAGGGTCTGGCTCCTTCCCCTCCTGCCCACATCCTAAGCTCATCCACTTAGTTGCCTCGTTTAAATTGTTTCCCATGGAAAGGATTGAAGTTTTCCAAGAACTGATTTTGCATTAATCAAATAATGCCCTTTTGATTATTTTCTTGTACAAACCCCTTCCTAGCCGGGCAGTGTTGGCACACACCTTTAATCCCAGCACTTGGGAGGCAGAGGCAGGTGAGCCTCTGAGTTCGAGGTCAACAAGTTCCAAGACAGCATAGGCTACAGAGAGAAACCCTGCCTCAAAAGAATAAAAAGCACTACCACCACCAACAACAACAACAAAAAACTTCCTTTCGTCTATTAATTGTACTGGTTATTACATTTTCTCTATCTTAGCTCTCTGCCTCTAAGAGTATATGGTTAAATGATGTTTATGATACAAGTAAGTATATGAGTATTTGGACCTAACTAAATATTACTTAAGTCCACATTTTTAATTAAATTTTTTCCTATAAAAATTTTTGATTACATCATTTTCCCTATTCAATCTCCTCCCAGGTAGATGAAGGAGAAACATTTACTTAACACTTTTTAATTTTATTAAATGCAGAAAAAATTTCAATGCAAATATTAAACACATTACCATTTTTTCTATTTCTCTATTTCCTATATTAAATTATTCTAAGTTAAATTTAAGGAAATGCTTATTACAATTCTATCTTATCTTGAAGTAGATGAATTAGCTAATAAAAGCTTCTCCAATTACTTCTATAATGAAACTCTTACTTTTAACACATTAACATGTGTGAACAATATGATTTATTGAATAAATCACATTGGTAGGCAAAAAGGACATTTGAAGAATTGAAATCAAGCAAAATGCAGATACTTTTCTAAGTTGCCCACACAGAACAAGAACACAAAGCTACTCATCACACTCCTCTATTTAGAAAGAGTCCTCCAGCGCCTCTTTCAGAAACTGCCCTCTTGAAATGCAAAGTCAAATTCAAAACTTTAACTTCACTAGGTGTGGGAGGACCTGGTTGACACAGATGTGGAACATTTAATTGCTGTGGATTACAGTGTCACCAAGTACAGCTGCGGCTCTAGCTCTTTCTTCTTCATCTTTCAAAGCCTCCTCATACCAGGACTCGAAGGCACTGGGCACTGTATGGTTGATCTTAGCCCAAAATTCCAGGATTTTCATCTTGCTTGTCTCCGCATGAGATCTTGGGCCCCATAGAAACTCATAGCTTGCAGGATGACTGTTGGGAACTTGACGGTACTCCAGGTACTTAAGCTTCACTAGATCTTGAGTGATAAGCTTCCTGGGCTCCCCAAAAATGAAATGCTTCTTTCCGTCATATATTTTCATCTTATTCAGGAATTCCCAGATCTTTTCCTCAGGCGCACAGTTTCCTCTCAGGGATATCACACCTAGGAGATTCATTAGCAGGCCAGTCTTGGGAAATCCCCTGCCTCTACTCACAGTGCCATTGTTGGGGAGATCCATTTTGCTGACAAGGGCGTATGAATGCTTTGTAGAGTCCACTTCCTTTAAGTCTACACCAAAAACCACTTCTATGCTGAACGAAGCTTGTCTAAGGATCTCCAAGAAGTGCTTGCTGTGCTTTTTGGTGATCACCTTCAACATGTCTGCTTTCAGAATGGGTTTCTTCATTTTATACATGTGCATCATGTACTTCACCAACACGCGAACTGTACTGATTAGAGAGCTCTGCGGGGGCTTCATAGTGGAGGTGGAGGCCTGGGAAGAATTCTGTTTTCTCTTAATTCTGTAGTTATCTCCTTCATTTGCTCTTGTAGGAGAACCAATGTTAAACTTAGTGGTAGAAAGAGCTCTCTGCAGCACCTTGGAAGTGCTTTGAAGCCTACAAGCTGATTTTGTACGGGTAATAATCCCCATATAAGGAGAAGGTGGAAAGGGAGATCCTTCCTCCTCTGTTGCAGGGGCCTGAGCACTCTGGAGATCCTGGGTCTTACCTTTAGTCTCCTGGCATTTTTCTTGGCCTCGGAGCTTATTCTTCTGATCCCAAGGCATGGTGATCTTGTTCAGAGTATAGGCTAGCAAGCCAGTGGTGCATTCACCTGGAGAGAGAATGGGATTGCATAAGCACCTTCAGCATAGACACAGACACAACTTTTGGCTTTAAGGAGACCACCTTTGCAGGATTCTGGGAAAGTACCATCCTAAGAACTCAGCTGGCCCTTGTTCTGATCAGCCTGTCCTCTGATAACCCAGTGGCACTAATTAAAGTGTGCTTTCGACTGCAGCCTGCCACCACTGGCTGGTGTGCACTGGCAATGCAAGTGATGATGGCAGACTTAATTCTGGTGGACCCCTTTCCTCGGGGGATAGAAGATCTCTGATCTTCAATGCCAATGAAATTATCAGATCAAATTGTAAGCTGTGCCTGGGCCCCTTCCTTGTGCTGCAGTAATTTTTGATTACTTCACCAAATGCCCTCATTCCCTTCCTTGGGCCCCTAAGATGAAATGAAAGAACACCTGAGCCCTCAACACCTTCTCCAACTAACTCAGTTCTAAAAGCTGACACAGGCTCACTGGCTGCTCTCTTAGACACTACCCTTTTTGAGGCTTTCTGTGCAAAACTTAGTGTGACAGGTTTACTGGGCCACACAGGGCTAGAGTAACCCCATATGGGACAGATTTAGTGGGACGCTATAGATTGTGAGGATGGAACTGGTCTTCTAAAGCCAAAGTCAAGGTCCTAAACTTAAATCCAGGTGACTCCCAGGGTATTTTTTCCCCTTTCCTTCTTCCAAGGTTTTGCATCGCAAGAGAAATGAGAATGACCTACATCCTGCCAACTTTGCCCAAGGTTTCCCCATACTGACAACAGGGGTGTGTTGTTAAGGAACCTCACTATTATAGAATCCATGCTCTTTAGGTCCTCAACATATCAAGTGAAGCCAGGAATTCTTGCTGTTCTCACATGAGTAATGTAAACTTGAAATGAAGAGTCAACCTTCCTCAGTCACCATTAGAAATAATTTCAAGCCTTAATGGGCCAACCTCTGGGAAGATTCTCAGGTGTGACAGGTGATACAGGGATCCCTGAGACTCTCTATTTTGGAGAATGTGTCCTTTAACTCAGAGTTTCTCAACTTATTTTGCCCTCCCTTGCAGAACCAGAACGTACCCATTGCATCCAATTTTGCTGTTTTCTGTGACTCTCCAGGCACAAATGATGGACACTTCAATCGTGGAATTCTGCCTACTGAATTATTTCTCTGTATCCTAGGATTCCTCCTTCTGCCTATATAAGTTCACTAGCCACAAACACCTTCCTCTCTCTCCTTGGTGTTTTGAGTGAAAATTCAGATACACTACAAAAGAGAACAGCTTTCTCTGGGTCCTCACAGGACTACAAATGGAGTTGGGTCTTTTGACATCTCTCTGAATGAGTACAATGGTAGACCCAAAGATACCTCATGATACTGATTGAAGTCCCTCAGCTTCCAAAGGAAGCCACAAGCTCCCCAAGAGGAAGAGTACTGTAGGCAAGACTTACATGGTACTCATAGCCCAAGCCTCTCATCCAAGCAATGGGCAACGATTTGTGAGAAGCCTTGTTTAGGGAACAATTCCTCTACTCTCATCCTCCCAAGGGCATCTCAGCTTTACTTTTGTTTTCAACAATAACTCTCTTTACCAGAACTGGGGTCCCCACCATTGTACTCCATTAGGCTATTTGCTGTTACCTTCCAGGAAGAAATGAAGAGCACTCCAAACTCCTGTTCATGGGCTTAACAGAGTGGATTCAGGGGAGCAAGAATCCTCCCTTATAAGGACTCAAGGCTTTCACCTTCAAATATAGCGTTCACCTTTCTTAGTTCTTACACCAAAAGTCTTGATGTGCATAAACTAAAAGGCTAACACCAGACCAATAGAAAACAGAGTTGTTTTTTGATACATCCACCCACCCACACACACCACTCCTCCACATGACAGTGCTATAAATCCCTCGTGTTACTGACCTGAACCACAGACCTCCTAAATAAAGTTTTCACATCCCTCAGTCAGCAGATAGGACCAGCACAAGCACAAGCCAGGCTGCCCTCTGTTGGTTAACGGGACCTAGGCAAACCACGCCCTCCTTTGTCAGCTGTTAGGACCTGCGCAAGCATACACCCTCTTGCGACAGGGCCTAGGCAAACCACGCCCCCCTCAGTCAGCTGTTAGGACCTGCTCAAGTGCACTTCTCCCTATGTCCCTTGATGGGCACCCCCTGTTGGAGGTTCTTAGGTCTGACAGCAGGGACTGAATGGCCCCTCCCTAGTTTGGGGGAAAATGTCTCTCATCAGTATTCGGGGTGCCCAGCTATACTGTTTTTGACCAAGACTTCTCTCCTGTAAATCTGGGGTTCATAACATCCTATTAGGTTACTTGTTGTGACCTTCAAGACAGATCTGGGGAGGACGTCAGAAACTTACTGTGCTGACTCAGCAGAGGGAATTCTTCGTTTGTTTGTTTGTGTTTTCGAGACAGGGTTTCTCTGTAGCTTTGGAACCTGTCCTGCAACTAGCTCTGTAGTCCAGGCCGGCCGCAAACAGAGATCCCCTTGCCTCTGCCTCCTGAGTGCTGGGATTAAAGGCGTGCACCATCACAGCTCTGCAATAGAGTGGATTCTATGACTCCCACGTTTCCCCCCCATTGAGTCTTCATTTGAAAAAGGTTTTATGTTAGTATTTTTAATTTAAAAATTATTTAGTTTCTATCACGTGTGTGAGTGTTTTCCCGCAGGTATGTGCACCATGTGCATGCATGGTCCCCAACGAGGGCAGGCAAGGGTGTAGGATATCCTGGAATGTAAGGGACACACAGCCATGAATCTCCATATGGGTCCTGGGAAACAAACCTGGGTCCTTTGCCAGAGCAACAAATGCTCTTAACTGATGAGTCATCTACCTAGCCCGTTATGGAAGTGTTCCTAAGTGCCTCGTCTATGCATTCTATTTCAATTCCTTTAGGCACAGACTTTTGTAATTCCTTAGGGATTTAGACTTAAGACTAATGAGTATGTGGTGGTTTTTAATACTGTTAATAATACTGTATTGTGGAATAGAAACTCCCTGAGACCTTTGGGCATATTTGAAAGAAATGGGATTAGTGGATACAAGGACAGTCTCTCAGGCAGGTGATGGTTCAGTCTCTTGTAGCTTTTTTAAAATACAATTTCTCATGTAGCCCAGACTAGCCTCAAACTCACTGATCCTAAAGTTTTTATCCTCCTGCTTCTTCCTTTCCAGTACTAGGATTGCACGTGTGTTCCACCACACCTACTAGGCCTTATTTTTTGATTCATTCATTTATTTTTATTCTTAGCATACAGTAACTGTAAAAAGGTCTCATGGCATTGTTATACATGTTATATGTTAATACTTATGAACCCCATTTCCAGGTATTAGCCACTATTTCTATTATTTTCTTTTTCCCAAATAGTCTTTCTCTTACCTTTAAGAATTTTCTTTAAATATATATTTTTCATATGAAATAATGAAGTTATTTGAATTTTGGAAAAGATTGTGGTACTTGAAATCAGGATCTCCAGTGCCATATACCTTGCTGCAAATGACATGATTTTTTGAAGCCTTCAGACATCACCTATTTATGCAGTCCTATAACTCTTAAATATATTATTTATTTTTATTCATACTTCACACTGAACAGGGATTTCTGCTTCATGTTTTTAATCATTGCACTCAGGAAGGAGAGGTAGGAGAATTTCAGACTTTGAAGTCAGCCTGGTCTGGTAGTGTATGATGTTTTTTTCTAAGGTGAAATGAGCACATAGAAAAAAATCTCACCCATTTATTTTGGTGTTCTTACTGCCTTCACTGGATATTATATCCAGTGGTTTGAATACTGACTGTTTATCTGTTTTGCTGTAGAACTTGAGCCTTGTATTTCCATGATAACCTATAGCATTCACTATAACAGGGACAAGAAGAAGTTCAGAAGCATAAAGCAAATTTCAGGTTAGGAGGGGTGAAATACTGTGGGTTTTCATTATCCTATATTTTGAAGGATATTGTCACTTATTAGCTGGTCAATTTCATAAATTCTCTGAGCTGCATGTTTCACATCTGTACAACAGTTTTGGTAAACCCTGTCTTCTAACTAGCATATATTGAATCTCTCCCTTGTTCTGTCTCACGGCTGCAGATGCCAACCAAAAGATTTCCCTGACACACATACTTAAAACTTAACCTAACCAGGAGGTGGTGGTGTACAACTTTAATCCCAGCACTCTGGAGGCAGAGGTAGGTGGATTTTTGAGTTTGAGGCCAGCCTGGTCTAAAGAGTGAGTTCTAGGACAGCCATGGCTAATAAACAAATGAACAAACTAAAAACAAAACAAAACAAAACAACATAAGAAAGATAGATAGATCCCCATCTGAGAGGCCTACTTTGAAACCTTCTCAGTGTGTTAATGAAGGGCAGGGTGAGACACATTCTTGTCCTCTCTATTAAAAAGCATATTGTCAGCTCTGTCCCTACCCAAGTTCTCTGACTTGCCTTCTGGAAGAAAAGGAGGTGCCTTTCTATTTGAAAAAATTTTATCCACTATGTAAGGCCTGTGCCTCCATGAGTCCCACTAGGAGGAAGCAATAACACTTCTTGTCAGTTATCTCAGCACAATAAAAGTCTTTAAGGTCTGAGGAAAGGACCCAAGTTCTATGAGACTACTTTTCTTGTGTAACTCCATAAGTTACACTTAGTATCAGCATGATAAGAGCTAGCTAGGAATACATGACAGTGATTGACCAAACAGTATTGTAATTAATATAATTTTGTATGATTATTCGGGTCTGGGAGGACAGAAAATGAACAAACATTCTCCATTTACAGAACGGCACCCACCATCTGGGGCATTGGTCCACATATGACCTGAAAAAGCTTTTTAAAAAAGAGGACTTCTAGACCTACAAGAACAGGAACCAAGCACAGCTTCTTGGTAGCTGCATTTTTTTCAGATAAATTCTGTTTGTTGGTGGCAAACAGAGGAACGGCTTCTTTAAGAGAAGTCTTCCTGACCCAGTGTTAGCAGCAAAAAATGCATGGCTTCTTTAAGGTCTGGCTTTCTTAAGGAAGAATGACAGAACTAAACTACAAACTCCCTACTAGGGTCCAGGTTACTTGTCAGTTGTGGAAGAACACCAGTTACTATCTGAGCCATCCCCACTTCAGCTAGAATCTACCCCATATTTGACTGAATTACAAAAGAAGATTGCTGGGGCATGGACAGAAATAAATCCACGTGGACTGGCAAGATATCAAACCCCAATAGTAGCTCAGTTGACTACTACCACAACCCTAATCCAAAAGAACTATTAAGAAACAAGTTTTACGTATCACATTTATAAATGATGGTATGGGACATTGTCAGATGGTATACAAATTGTATCCAAACAACCACTGGGCCACAATTCAAGGTATCCATGGGGGTCAGAACTTGAGATAAAATACCTGGAGAATACTGGGAGGTGGGCTTTACTAAAGTAAAACAAGGCCAAAATGGGTATAAGTACATCCTTATATTTGCAGATACTTTCTCAGGTGAGTTAAAGGTTTCTCCTACCAAACGGGAAATAGCACAGGTTACTATAAAGAAGCCATTAAAGGAATTAGTCCCCCAATTTAGCATTCCATTGGTAATGTGGTCCAAGAAAGGCCCAGCTTTCATAACTTGAATTTCTCAAGTACTGGCTACAGTCTTAGAAATAACATAGTATATTTTATCTATAGACCTCAGAGCTCAGGGCAAATAGAAAGGATGACATAAAACCTGAAGGAAATCCTAACCAAACTAACAGTATAGATCAGTGAAGGTTGGGTGAGCTTTCGTACCTCTGTCCTCTTATGGCCTGATTTGTTTTTTTTTTTTAATTGATTTTATTGAGCAATATATTTTTTTCTGCTCCCTCCCTTCCTCTCCCCTCTTTTTTTTTCTTTTTTTATTAATTTATAAAAGTTTCCACTTCCGTCCCTCCTCCCAATACCCTCCCACTCCCCCCACTCCCTCTCCTCCTCCCTCTCCAGCCCTAAGAGCAGTCAGGGTTTCCTGCCCTGGGGGAAGTTCAAGTTCCTCCCCCCTCCCTCCAGGTCTAGGAAGGTGAGCATCCAAACAGACTAGGGTCCCAAAAAGCCAGTACATGCAGAGGAAACAAGTCCGAGTGCCATTATCAATGGTTTCTCAGACAGTCCCCATGCCAGCCACATTCAGAGAATCCGGTTTGATCATGTGCTTATTCAGTCCCAGTCCAGCTGGCCTTGGTGAGCTCTCATTAGATCAGTCCCCTTGTATGAGTGGGTGAACGCACTCCTCATGGTCCTGCCTTCCTTGCTCACGTTCTCCCTCCTTCTGCTTCTCATTTGGACCTAGGGAGTTAAGTCCAGTGTTCCAATGTGGGTCTCTGTCTCTATCTCCATCCATCGCCAGATGAAGGTTCTACGGTGATATGCAAAATATTCATCAGTATGGTTATGGACCAAGGCCAGTTCAGGCACCCGCTCCTCTGCTGTCCAGGGAACAATCTGGGGATCTCTCCTTGGACCTGACAACCCCTCTAGAATCAAGTCTTTTGTAAACTCTAAAATGGCCCCCTTAGTTGAGATATATACTTCCCTGCTCCCATATCCATCCTTCCTCCCTCCCCCATCCCAATCCCCCAAGCTTTCCCCAATCCTCCCCTACTCCCTTCTCTCTAACCCT